CATTTTAAGTTTTCCCTAAAGATTTTTAAGTACTCCCGAACCCAATACGAAATATCATTCTTCAAGTACTAATAATGGTGCTGTCTATTAAATATTCATTTTTAAATACAAATAAATGAATAGCACGTTGGATAATGAAGGGTTCGTTTTCACTTTCAAATTTCTATTTTAAAAGAAGCATAGCTAAGCACAGATCTACATATATGTGCCACTTAAGGTAATTCTTCAAGAACAAGTCGAATTTTTGTAAAAGGGATTTTTCTTCTAAATGATGTTTTCTCTGACTTCTCTTCTACCCTCTTTTTTTTCATATTATAAAAAATGGCGCGAAACCGCGGTTTTTAGTGATTTTATAAGTCAATTTCAACTTATTGGCTTCTTTGACCAAAAATGCTAGACATTATGCTTGGGCTTGTGTCCAGAATTCCATTCTATTTCAACGAATTATAAACGCTGTTTATGTGATACAATGCTAAAACCGAGCTAAATTGCTTATTTTATTGATTGAATGTGTTGGTGAACAAGGTCAACTGAGAATAGAATCTGTAGGCAATGACTAGCATTTACCATTTCTGTGAGGTTCATGACAGATGTTCTTAATTTGAGACTTGCTTTTCAATTGTATAGTTTCACCATATTATTTAGGACCCCTAAGCGAAAGTATGTTATTTCGATAACCGGTAATTTATGGTATCATGGCTAAGGAATAGTATTTTATTGATTAACGTTGTCAGGAGAAAAGGTTCGGAAAGAAGAGAATAGTTGAGCAATATCTAAAGTACTTATTTCTACTTTTGGTGGCACAATGCCAAATTGGTACCAATCTGCAAAATACCAGTTTGCGTCCAACGCTACCATTTGATTGCTGACGAAAATAAAGCTATCTTCTTCAATGTAGAAATATAAATAGTATCTCCTACGAAACAAAGCGTTGGAATATTCGAAAATTGGTTTCTACCATAGATAGGAATCATTATATATATATATATATATATCATTATATATATATATATCATTATATATATATATATCATTATATATATATATATATATATATATATATATATATATATATATATATATATATCATATATATATATATATATATATATATATATATATATATATATATATATATATATATATATCATTACATATATATATCATTATATATATATCATTATATATATATCATTATAAATATATCCATATATATATATAAGTGTGTGTGTGTGTGTGTGTGTGTGTGTGTGTGTGTGTGTGTGTGTGTGTGTGTGTGTGTGTGTGTGTGTTGGTGTCCGTGCATATGTGCCTGTGTCTGTGTGTGGAGAGATAGATAGAGGATTTTGGTCTGATGGTAGTACTAAAATAGGAAACTGACAGTCACTTTGCTGTTGATTTAAATATCTACAAGCTCTGTATATACAATATCCGATATTGATCAGTCTTTCCCTATTAATGCACTATATATACATATACATATATATATATATATATATATATATATTACGATTGCGCCTAACCTGAAATAGTCTGTCGCCTCTGAGTGTTGACTTCCATGTTCACTTTTATATTTACACACGCTCTATCTCTGATATTGAGCACTTTATCGCATAAATATACGACACCCTAAAACTATATTTCTTCATATATATATATATATATATATATATATATATATATATATATATATATATATGGTTGTTGTCAAAATGTTCATCATTTTGACGAAATATCTTTTTCCATCATCTGTCTATATTTCTGAGCTGAGGAGATCGTAACTATTTACATGATTTACATTGTTCGAACAGTTTTCCTCAAGTTTTTTGTTAGATTCACAACTAGACCGTTCCAAGACTTGAAACTTCTTTTTACAAATCCATTCTTTTGTGAATTTGCTTTGATGCTTCTGATCATTGTCTTGCTGCAAGTTCCTGCCCTGACCTAAGCCCAACTTTTGAAATGAGGACAAGACACTTTCATTCAAAATAGATTGATATCTTGCAGAGTCCATCGTGCTGTCAGTGTATACTGTTTTGCCTGTTGCAGCTGCAACAAAGCACCCCCAAATCATAATGCTGTAACCGTCATGTTTATTAGCTGGTATCAAATTCTTCTCTTCAAAAGCCGTATTAGGAGCACGTCAGATATACTACATATTGTTCCTCCCAAAAATCTCTATTTTGTTTTCATCCGATCATAAAACCTTCTACCAGAATGTTTCGAGCTTATTAATATGAACCTTGGCATAGTTGAGGCGAGCATGCTTGTTTTATTTCGTAAGCAGTGGGTTTTTTCTTGGTATGCCGCCATGAAGATCAGCATTTCGTCGCAGTGTAGATATATGTACACTGATTCTAAAATTGGCCAGTATTGGAGAACCTCAAAAGGTCAGAGAAGGATTTTCCTAGGCTTGCCAAACTGGAGGGCTACTTGCTCTTGCTGTTATTTTACACAGGGCCGCATCTTGATTGTGATGCCGTCACACCAAAGGCCATTTATCTATAAATAATTTGTTACACGGTGGAGAAGTGCACTCCAAATCGTTTTGATAGCTTTTTGAAGCCTTTTCCATAATTATAGGTTTCAGCTATGGTTTTTTAAAGCTTCAGGAAGTTCTTTTGATCTTTTCATATATATATTATATATATATATATATATATATATATATATATATATATATATATATATATATATATTAATCTCTAACTCCACACTTTTGCATACACTTTTGCCATATTTATCACAACGTTTCGGCCGTTCTACGCTTCGGTCTTCTTCAGGTGGTTGGAATATCGAACTGAACCTTCTATTCTGCTCGCTACGAAATTTCCGTGCAGCTGCGGGAAAAAATATAAAGGGGGGACAGGCCACCTCCTTAAGGTAAGGCTTCAAGAACACCAAAAAGGTGTAACACAAGGGGATGTGGGAAAATCAGGCATGGCTGACTACATATGGAGAGAAAAGGGAGATCACCGCCGTCCGTGGGATCAGATTGAGATCATAGACAAAGAACATCAATGGAAAATTCGTAAACTTAAGGAATCAGCACATATCCTAGGCCACAAAAATCTCCTGAGCCGACCAAGCATAGAAATGAATACAATATGGGAACCAGTAATAAGGAGCGCGAGAGAAAATCAATGATAACAGCAAAAAAATGATGCTGAAAACATTAGGTTTATAATACTCAGAAATTCATTCAGAGATGTCCTCAATGATACATGACACAGTGGATAAAGGCCGAAAGAATGTGGCAGGACCGAAATTGTATGAGTTCAATACCTGGTTATGGTGGAGAAGTTTGAGAGGGAGAATTATATATATATATATATATATATATATATATATATATATATATATATATATATATATAAATTGTTGCCTTTCCGTAACCTATGTTTAATGACTTATGACATGTTCAATGACTTACGTTTAATGACTTATGTTTAATGACTTTTGTTTAAACAGCCCGATTTTAATAAATTGTTTAATGACAATGCATAATAAAAGTCTTCAGAAACTAAGGAAATAAGTAATTTGTTTAAGGAATTAATAGAGAACAAATAGAGAAAATAACGGTTTGGAATAAAGTAGTTAACATCCTTGATGTGACATTTAACTTATTCAATGGAACATATGGACCATACAAGGAAAACCGTGGGTGAAATTATGCATGTTCATAACAATTCCACCCATCCTGCCAACTATACTGATGTAGATACAGAAATCAGTAAAAGCGCGACTACAAATTCAGCCAACAAAATGAAGCCAGGCCAATTGCAATATTAGCAACTGCAGTGAAGATAATAAAAATAAAGATAGAATTAGAAAAATCATATTATGAATATAATTTAGTTTAATCCAGCGTTCAATAAGGTCGTTAGGGTGAATGTCGTCAAAATATTTTCGAAAATTAGTTAAACACTTTTTCTGGCGACAAACAGCTGGGGAAAATGTCTAATAATAACATTATAAAAATAAACATGCAACTGTTGGAATAAAGAACAGTGTCTGCCCCTGGGCAATGCTTAAGTAATAACGAACGAATAAGCTTTAGTTGTTTTTATCATAATATATATATATATATATATATATATATATATATATATATATATATATATATATATATATATAGTTGTATATTTATATATATATATAGTTGTATGCAATCCTTCGTTTATGCATGTTTCATTAAAAACGACAGACAAGGTACTACGGTTAAGTTTTTTATTTATTTTTTCTTGTGTTCGAACAAGAGCTTTTTTTTCTTAACAAAGAGTGTGTAAAAACTGTCCAAATGTTTTATAGACCCGAGCGCTTTTGGCTATACCTTTAGCCATTATCAAGGATTATTCAATTTTTTAGCTTAATTGAGTGTGTGCATTATGTGTATGCTTTAGTGTGTTTTAGAGATGTTTTTAATTCTCGAATACTGTTAGCACATTGTGGCCTTGTTCGTAGTTAATATTGTTAAGAGTTGGCTTTTTCTTTTTTATTATTAAAGCTTCCATTATTTTTAATCTTTTTTTACGAGTGGATGAATTTATTATATTTGTTTTCTACTAGTATGTTTCTAATGGAGTCTTGTAAGTTTGTGTGTATATTTAAATGGGTTCTAATGGAGCTGTGATCAGATAGGTGTAACGTAAGGCGTCTGGATAAGCATGTAGTTGTGTAACCGATGTAATTATTTATGAGTCCGGTTTAATCAGGAACACAGCATTTGAACTTATAGATAATGTTCGTTCTTTGTAATTTTGACTTAACTGGTGTATTGTTATTTTTGAGGACAAGGTTAGCTGTCTTAAATCTTTTTATAATAGATAATTAATTTGATTTTTTTTATTCGGGTCAATTGGGGTAGTGTATTTCTTTTTAATATTTCTTAGTAAAGATTCGTCTTGTTTATAGTTAATGTGCATTTGGTTTTTGTAATAAATGTTTATGTAATTTTTCACTGTGTGTTGACTATCGTTATTACTTTGGGGAGAAATAGTCTAAGATAGATAGATAGATAGATAGATAGATAGATAGATAGATAGATAGATAGATAGATATTGACAAACTGAAAACGTTTTATTGAAATTTGATTATGTGTTTCGCCTTTCTAGTCTTCATCAGATCCAAAAACGTGTAATCAAGTCTAGTTTCAATGAAACATTTTATATATCGGACTCAAGGCTATAGAACCCGGTCTGTCCTGCTATTTACCCATAGCTTGGAGGGGGGAAAGAGGATTCATAGGGAGGCTCGGTGGAGTAATTTGATAGCGTCTCGGATTGAGGAATCGGAGAACCGAGTTTGAATTCCAGTCAAATCCATCACATACAGGCTAACACCCTTGAGAAAGGTAAGAATCCTCTTCTTCTTCCCCCAGCTATGGATAGATAGCAAGACAGACCGGGTTCTATAGATTTTGATGGCAACTGATCTACCGCAGAAAGAAATGGCAACCTACTGAGGGGAAATAATCTACCTTGTCAGTAATGTATCGAAAGATACATGATCGCCTATGCGTATATCACACATGACACATAACTGACTTTTCCAGTATAACTCTCTAAAACAGAAACAATTATGTAAGACAACAGAGCAAAGAAAAGGGACTTTGACTGCGTAAAGCCGGGTGTTATTGATCGTTTAATCGACAGTAAAATAAAAAGGAAGACTAATATGCAATTTACTATGTGTTGAATTGTTTCAAACTAATGCATCAGTTTCCATCTGGTTCACATTCAATTATATGAACGCAAAGTAATTAGTTTAGTCAACCCAAGTCCTCAGAATTCAAGAGCCCACTTATACTGTCCGATTCGACTTGAAATATTTCATAACTAATAGCTAAAAAATGTCTTTTCTATTCTATTAACTTTTTTTCTCATATTTTCTTTACGGAGTTTGACATTAATTAATTTTCTGTTCGTATTGTTTTTTATGCATGTTGTCTCAAAACTATTAGTCTTTTTCCAATACGATTTAATTGTGATGTTACCATGTAAGACAAATGGAACAAAATCTGGAGATGCTTATAGAATCTTTCCAAAAAGTATTCAGACTCGATGATATTCTGACAATTGTCCAGCAGAAATATGCTTCTGTATTGGCTTCTGTTCTCTCTAAGTTCTACAATTAATGGCTTGCTGCTTCTTGCTTTCCAGCTTATTGGAAATTCTCTTCTGTAGTAACATCACTTCATTGTGTCTTTCCTATAAATCTTCCCATGGTAATTGTTCAGATGAGTTTTCCGCTTTGATACCTCGACTTCACGAATTTAAGCACAGTACTAGATTTAGGTCTCATGATTTTACTCTTTAAATGTAACTGTAAGTTCTATTCTAATTACATCGCACTTCTGTGGAACTCTCTTCTGACTTCTCGCGTTTCTGTCAACTACGCTTATCAAAAATTTAAATGCAACGTTAATCGACATTGCCTCCTGTTCTTTTAAGGTTCTCCCTGCTCAATAACATTTTTCTCGGTTACTTTTACTATTAGTAACCTTAGTGGCTTTATCGCCTTGCATGAAATAATTTCAAAAACATAAAGAAATTGAACACAGAATAAGCTTTGCTAGGAGTAGTTTAGCCCAACACCGCAAGTTGACACAAAACCAAAAACATTAACATAAAAATTCAAGTCATGTTCTTAAATAGCCTCGTCAGATCAAGACTTTCGTATGGATGTCATGCATGGAGCCAAACTCATTCAGAAATATTTAAACTGCCAGCTGTATGCAACCACTTTCTCAGATTAAGGGTTGAAAATGATTTCGAGCGAATCGGGTAACGGAAAACATTTATTCTGAAAAAAAAGAAAAGTCAAATAAAAATGAGTAAGAAAAATTGAATAAGAAAAATTGAATAAGTAATTACTGATCTGGTTGTTTAGGGCTTGGATAAATGTCAGGGTTCAAGTTAAGTTTAAGATTAAGTGTTAGACTTAATATTAAATTTTATAAATCTGGCCCTTTTATATGATTAGGGGGAGGTGACTTTGACTCGATCCGAAGCACATGGAAAAAACGTTCTTATTCATATCACAGTGATATATTTCTACTGTCGCTCTTAGCTTGTCTCTGCCATGGTTTAGCATAACAATTACATCCCTTATAACCTACCATACTTGTACACACACACATGCACAAATAAATTATATCTCCGCAAAGAGAGAAGGGAGTGGGAGAGAAAGAAAGAAAAAAGTAAAAAGACAAAGAAAGAGAGAGAGGGAGAAAGAAAAAAGAGAAATAAAGACTTCAGAGAGGGAAGAAAAATATAGTTTATGATCGTAAAAGTCGCCCACAATCATCTCCGACATTTCCATGTAGTGGATTTTCTTTAAATGTATATTTTTAAGTACATCTGTTTCTTTTCTGGAATAAATCCCTTTTTAAAACTTAAAAAAAATTCTGAATTGTATTTTCAGGAATCTAATCTTCGGTACTCTCAGTATTCAGGATTATGGCGTTCAGGATTCTACCTTTCGAGTTCAGGATCCAAATCAGAATAGATTAAAAGTAATAAAGAATGGTTTAGTGGCGGCTTCCTTCGTCAATTGCAAAGATTAACAAAAATATTTTTAGCAAACTTTTAGGGAGAAATACTTGCAATTCCTGTTGCATACAAATCACAAGATAGGGCGTTTTATCTATATAATTTAATAAATATGTTTTTTAGTAGCATAAAACCTTCTCTGAGAACAAACCATGTCATTCATTTTACTTTCAGCCGTTTCGTTCCGTCCGTGAAATAAGGTGTTATTATATCAGGGATATAATAATAATACCCATAATGGGGAAAATACAAATGGAAAAAGCTCTTCCAAGCTCTCCCATTAGCAACAAAGATGTGGACAATAATCTGCATGTAAATAGTGTAAATAATGATAACTACACCTCCCAGAAATTCAGACAGAAAGGAAAAAATATTTTCAGGGTTTACATGTCTTATTTTCAAAAGTGTAAGATTATTGTCATGGTGTTAGCCGAACGAAGCTCATCTTCGGGCTTCACTGGGTCCTCTATATTTGTAACCTTGTGCCAAACTAATCTAAAGTTAGTAAATAATAATTTAAAACGCATAGACGTAGGGTAAAAGCAAACCTGTGATGGAAGCCAACTATAGTTGTATCCTTCTTAAACTACTCTGCTATAAAAGAAATGGCTGAACCTTACATGCGGACAGTGATCCAATTGCATTGAATAAAGCTTCATTAAAAGCTTCATTAAAAGCTTAAAGGTACGTCTATTTTTATACTGTAACGAGTTCGATCCTCGAAAGTTGCAACATGTATGGCTTGTTAAATTAGAATGGTTTGTTATTTCCGACCATCAAGTGGTGATTTCCAAAGCATTCCTATTTGCGAATCTGGTGCTACATAATCTTTCTGATCTGGTTTTTTCTTTGAGTTCTTTTCAGACAAGGTTAGTATCCATATACGTAACTATATATATATATTTATGTGCAAGATTTTTTAGAGGATGCACAAATACTGTAGTCTGATCCAAGGCAGAAATACTATTCCATACATACATAGGCCTATCATATTTAATGGCTACCGTGCGTGTATGTGTAGGCGTGTGTGTGTTTGTGTGCTGATTATGGTACAAATGAAAACGTAGCAAAGCTACCTACTTTAGACAGAACATCAATTCTATTATCCATCACCCTAACCCTCCGAATGATAAGCTAATAAATGATTGTTACAACAAAAATTACCACTTATTTAATTGTTAAAAAGAATGAGTCTAGCGCAAATATAAATGTTTCTCAATAAAAGACAATCATTAGCGCAAAACATTGTTTATTGTAAGCAATTGATAAGCTGATTTATTTGGAAAATTACAAGTAATGACCTGACAAGATATAAAAAATGGAAAAGATAACGGACGTGAACATTGTGTGAAAATACAATTGGAACAATCAGAAATATAATTTCTTCTTCTATGTGCCCTCCACAAATTCTTGTCCTTTGTGGCCATTAGCAGTTTTTGCCCATTTGCTAAGGCTCTCAGGCCCCAACCCTGTTCATTCACACAAGCCCGTCAGGTAAGAGTCTCGTTACCTTCCCCTATCTCTCTTACCTTCATTATGCCCCGTGAGTGTTAAATTTGCCAAGCTGTCCTTCCTTATTATGTGTCCAAAGAATTTCAGCTGTCTGTTCCTGATCTAGAGAAGTGTTTTTTCTGTTGTTTACTCGCCTCGTCCATGGAATTTTCAGAATCCTTCTGTAGAATCATATTTCAGCTGCCTCTAGTTTTCTCCTCATCCGACATTGTCCACCCTACACTGTAATATAAGAAGATGGATTTTTTTATATTCTTTCTCTCCCTATATATATATATATATATATATATAGATAGATAGATAGATAGATAGATAGATAGATAGATAGATTCGATCTTATTATAGAAAAATATACGCTGTCTGAGAGGATTCGAACTAGTTTAAATAGTGTGCAATATATGCACTATTTAAACTATTAGTTACAACGAAACTATAGTAGCTGGTTTGTTAGTAGTGAATCACGTTTAATTCTTTACATTTTATTTAAGACTGTGTGTGTATGTGCGTGTGAAATATGTTAACTACATATATATATATATATATATATATATATATATATATTATTATATATTGTGTGTGTGTGTGTGTGTGTGTGTGTGTGTGTGTGTGTGTGTGTGTGTGTGTGTGTGTGTGCTGAGAGAGGGAAAGAGAGAGACACTCAAAGAGAGAAAGGCAGGGACAGAGAGGTGGAGAGAGAGGAAGAAAATCAGAGAGTGGGCGAGCGTCATACACCGACACACATAAGTAATTAGTATCGTTGTAATCAGCTTGTATATCGTTTACAAACATAAGCCTGACAATCAGTATAACCGTGAATAAAACCGCTAATGACGTTTGCCATGGTCCCGGTCAAAATGTATGGGTGTGTCTTCGTCAGCCCCTAATCAAGTAGTGGCCCGTGTTTGCTAGAGCGAGAAATCGGACAGAGTTTAGCTTGTAGCGTGGACCGTGAGAGATATAAATTTACTCAGGAAATCAAATGATTGCTTGGCGCCGCAGAAAC